TTTTTAACACCTGTGCTGTCCACTGACTACAGTAGGATCTCTGCACATTCAGTGTCTTTGAAAATCAAGTGTCTAAATTCAGATTTTGTAGCCTCTAGCTGCATCATTCAGGGAGGTATTTAAGTTTTTTTTGGATTGCCTTCACTCTGAGGTGATGATTGAGTGTGCTCTGAGTCTTTCTTCAGTTCTATGGGAGAAGCTTATCAAACTGTACAAGATGATGAATAATAAACTTTCTCTTCTGCTTTAGCGACATGGTCAAGAAAAGCAGAAAATAAAATAAATTAAGACTGAAATAGTGTTTGCACCTGCTCTTCTGAAAAGATAACACCTCTCAAAGAATGTGTAATTTCAGCTGAGCTCTTCAATCTCTGAAACACCATTAATCAATATTGCCTATTCCCTTCGGTCCCTGTAACCTTGGAATAAGGACAAAACATACTGTAAGGAATCACGTAAATAAGGGCATAGGTGAAGGATTACACTGGAGGAAAAGGATTTTACTGACTTTTCTGACCTCTCTTCTTATCTGGGTTTTTACAGTTATCTTTTGCTTTTTCTTATTCCTAAGCCAGCTTCATTTGAAAATCTTTTTCTGTATGGTTTGGTAGCATTTTCCCTTCTCACTAAGAAGTAGCTTAGGTAGTTATTTATGCAAAACTTCCCATTTATATCCACAAATTCTGGCATTATTCTTTGGAGGTGCAGTGTGTTCTAGGAGGGAGTGATGAAACAATACAGCTGTAAAAGGGGTAATCCAGTCAAGCTTAAAGAATTAATGTGCTTTAAAGCAAATATGGTCAAGTAGGTTCAAAAGGCTGCGTGTGCATTCATACTTTGATTAAACTGGTTTATTTTAGCTTCAGGATTTAACATGAAAGACACAGTAGACTGAAGATGCATTAAAATAGGCTGGTATTAACTTGAAATATTATATGATTTGAAACACCTGTAGTTTTGCACCAGTGTTTTTCTGTTGTTGGTGGCTTCAACTGGGGCAGCATCCCTCTATCCTTTTTGAGTAATTTCACTAATGAGGTGAAATATTATTACATAGAAACACAGAATCAATCAGGTTGGAAAAGATCTCTGAGGTCATTGAGTCCAACTTAGAGCAATCACCACCCTGTCAACTAGACCGTGGCACCAAGTGTTACATCCAGTCTTTCTTGAGCACCTCCAGGGATGCAGTCCCCTGGGCAATCCATTCCAATGTCTAGTCACTCTTTCTGGGAAGAAATTCCTCCTTATCTCCAACCTGAACCTTTTTAAACAGCACTTGAAATTATTCAATTGTAAAAGTTCCAGTTAAGACAAACAATAAATCTAAACATGGACTACAAATAACCACTGTGATATAGTCAGGTTCTCTCAATAAGATGGCATATTGACTGAGTCTCTGGCTTAAAGCCTTTATACAAATTTGTTCTAGAAAATCTCCACACATTCCCTGTTATTTCAGCTATTAAACTCAAACACTTTAGGATACAGCTAGAGTAATCCGTGAATTTAACTGGCTATCACAGAAGTGCCTTGAGAACAGCTGAGATGCCTGTGAAAGTGTCTGTGGCTTGGGAGAGCTACTGACTGCCAGTTTGGGATGGAAATCTAATGAGTTCTTCTACTATTATTTTCACTGCGTGTTTATCAAGCAGATGCTCTGTCCAGACTCTATTTCCATAAGTAACTGGTGCTTCAGCTCAGTGGCAAAACAGTGATGCAAGTGATGCAAAAAGCAGCTGCTGTCTACTGTAGCTGTCAAACAGAAAACATCCACCTTACTCCCAGACTCTCTACAATCCTCCTTTTTAATACCCAGTTAGAGGCTTTGATCTTACCTCACAGTCAAAGATGGTTTAAACTTACCTTATTTACTTTGTGGTCACTACTTGGGTGCACACCCCTTCCTCTCCAAGGAGGTTGTGCAAACAAAATACAGCATCTTCCTTCCCAAACCAGCTGGAATCAGCAGAAGGTCTCTGCCTTTCATTCACCCCCTTTACCTTCAGCAGTGCTAAAGTTGCTCTTAATTACAGAGCAATTAAGATATATAAGCTCAGAGGCTATATCAGCATTGGGACTGTGTGTAGAGGGAGCCATCTATGGAATAAATGGTTGTCAAATAATTAAAGAACACTTTCCTTAAAAACAAAACAAAAGAACTCAATAGCAACTTTTTTATATTCTTTTGTTCTTATCTCAAGACCTTTTCTAATCTAAGGTCTCTGTAGCAGGTGAGAGAAAACCAAGTTAGCCCATGATTGATTTCACTTTGTTAGTCTAATGTATATTGAAGCTGTTCAGTTAGTATTAAGGTGGACATATAAAAAACCTTCTGAGGAGAAAAGCCACAGAAAGCATAGGCCATTGAAGAAAAGTGCAGTGTTTCACGAAAAATTGTGCCAAGAATACTTAGCGATACCTTGCTGGCTAAAAGTTCATAAAGCTCTCTGCAACTTTTGGTTGTAGTATGTTTGTATGAGCAAGACTTTTCTGTTGTGTAGTGGTTCACTTGAAAGTGTCAATCTTTTGCAAGACATGTAATTCTTTGCTTATTGTTTTCTATTGTAAGCAAAACTTTGACTTTGTAAAAATTGTTACTAGGCAAATAACTTCAGAAAAAATAATTGAGAGGAAAAAATATTTTGCACAGCAGAAAGTATTTAATTCAATTATCTCACTCTTATGCTAGTTAATAAAATATGGGATATTCACAACTTTCTGATGTAGCAAATTAAAAAGCAAAAGTACAGACAGAAAGGGACCTGTGTAGCTCTTCTTCCTGTCCAAACATCTTATGCTAGTATTGTACTGGTGGGTTAGAGAGAGGGCAGGATGTTTCTATATGCACCTTTACTGTGTTTATATTTTTATCTACCTACATAAAAACACTTCTGGTGTTTGCATGAGTGTCTTCCTGATATCAAGAGGATTTGTGGCATGTCTGCATATTTGTAGACCACTGAATGTCCTCTGGAATTTGCTATATGCAATAGTAAAATAGCAGGAGGAAAAGCAAGGAGCCTACTATGTTTTTTAAAAGGGTATGAGAGTTAAAGGTCTGCAAGGTGTCTGTCTTCAGTATTTGACTTAGTATTCCCCTGACCCTATGTTAAACATCAATGAAGGGAGTTATTCCACTTCAGACAAGACCCTGTGAAAGTCAGCTTGCCTGTGTTCTGGGATACCTCATACTGACACAGCAGTGTCTGTGATGATGCTGTATTTGCCAACAAGATGCAGAAAGAGGTACTGTAGATTACGTACAGAATTGTTTTTTAGCTCAGATGGGAAGGGCCTGCCTGGGTCCTTATGACAGACAATCTCAGAGCAGTGAGGATGCTTCCTTTGGCAAACTATCACAGGTGTAGTTCAGTTTGCTAAGGGTGTATTGAGCTGTATTTGCTTTGCAGTTATGCTTCATCAGTCTTTCTTCATCGATTAAGAAGTTTATTTTCTGCCTGTTCCTTTTTTGCTGTGTCTGAAGAACCTAAAGAAACTTCATATATGTATCTCCAACAATGTAGATATGTGGTGTTTAAGACTGATAGTACCCACACCCACGAGAAAATAAATGATAAAGATTCAATTTTTTTTTCTTTTCTATTTGGAGGACACTTGTGTGTATTTATTTAGGGAAACAGCTTTTCATCTCTGCTTTTACTCAACCACCATCAAGAACATAATGAGATGAATTAGACAAAGCAAACTGAGCAATTGTTCTTGCCCTCTGTTCATTTATGAAATACATACATGACTTCAAGGGCCTTAATGTAAAAAGACAAACAAAGCTCTTCTGGAGTATTGCCAACTCAGGCATTCACAAATGCTATATTAATTTTGTCACTTTGGAGTCTTTAGGATTCAAAGTAGTCAAATTTTCTCCATCCATCCATGGATTTTGGAAACTCGTTTTGTGATGTGTACGGAGATTCACGTATACCTGCCTGAATCCAGGATTTAAACCTTCTAAAATGTTTCCTCACTTGCCTCTCACCTTCTCTCCTCTCTTCAAAAGTAACAGGAAATTTCAGATAAATCAGAAGATTGGCACTGCTGTTACTGCGCAATAATTTGTGATGGAAGCAGATGGTCACAATGAGGGGAGGTTTTAAGCTTCTAGATTGTTGAAGACTAAAGAATATTGTAGTGATCTGAGGTTTGCAAAAAGGACTATTATTTTTTTTCCTGAAAGTGTCAGAATGTTTTGTGTCAGGGATGGGATGAATGCTTCAGAACAGCAAAAGGCAGGGCTCGTTTGGGAAGCATTTTTTCTCTGCCTGAGTGGCAGAAATAGAGTTTTTGAGTGCTGCAGTAGAATGAGCTGGAATGCAAACCTGCTCTGGCTTTTACCTGAAGTACTCTTGGCCTCACAGTATGAATATGGTGCTGTAATAAAATTTTTCTTTTGCTCAAACTGAAACAAACTGCAACCTGAATCCAAGTACCATACTCATAAACTCATTTTCTTTTCCCCTCAAAATTTTGTGTATGTACCCTTGGATCCAGTCCTTGCCACATGCTCAGGGTGAGTATGAGGATCTCAGATGCTGATAGTGTTTTTGTTTCTTCAGCCCATCCATAGCTCTGCTAGTATTAAATACTGTGTGTGATGGGACACCTGGTATTTCATTCTGAGATGCAGATTCTGGCCATGCATTGGGAATATTTGATCAGTTTAGGGAGAACATGATCCTGCCCATGTCTAGAGGATAAGCTCATTTCTCTTACTCAGGTGCCCTGCTGTTCACTGACAGTTTAACTAGAGATTTGGGCACCTCATTGCTACCAAGAGCACAGAGATCTGCCTAGGTTCTTTAGTGTGAAATACCCATTTCCTCGTTGTGTGCTTGGCTGAACCTCATCCCCAGTGAGGAACACAGCAGCTTGGGAAATAGACCCCAGCTGTGGACCCATGAGAGAGCAGCACGTGATAGCTGGGAGAGCCTAGGGCAACACAGGTGTTATTTATACACCAGGCATGCCCCAAAACACCCCTTTTACCTTGATTTGGCACTTCTGGCAGTGCGGGAGTTGAATTTGTCAGCCCTTCATGTGCTGAGAGCTCTCCTGGGCTGTTTTTGCCTTGCCAGGGCTGGCTGTTTGTGATGTTTTTGTGTCAATTTGACCCATTACTTGCTGTAAGCTTATTTCTTTTGCAGCCTGCAGGTGAATTGCAGTACAAAGATCCTTCCTGCCAAGGATTTGGCTGTAAGTGTTCAGTGTCTGGCTTGGCAGCAGGAAATGGGACTCAGTATGGTGTTTGCCCTGGAAATTTTTTCCCTGTGTTTTTGGTAGCAGTTGTTGCTAGGAAGAGCTTGTCAGCCAAACTTGGCATCCAGTGGGGAGTTCTGTGACTTCCAGGACTGATCTCAAAGCTTATTGATGATTATTCTTTTCAACACGTTTCATGAAAGAAGACTTCTGTGTGAGTTTCACCTTTCATTTTCAGAAGATACTTAGCCAAGTAAACTGGGAGAAATTAGAAACCAGGCACCACCACCATCATCCTGAAGCCTATACCTAAAGTTTTTAATTCATGTTTTAATTCACATTTTTGGGAGTGATTGAGAATTGGAAAAGCAAAGTTTTGTCACAGCAACACAGCTGTTAAAAATGAAGCAAATTGCTTGTGCACAAATGGTAAGAGATTTGGCTCAGATTGTTTTTCATTTTCAGAAACTGCCTGCTGGTTAAGCCCTGGGAGATTTTCCTGTATCTGGTGGCAGAGGTAAATTTGTTGCCCTTTTCATACCTAGCAACTAGAAGTAGCAAACTTGGAAGACAGAGGGTGTGGGGCAAGGGAAGATGAAATGCTGAAACCAGAGCAAGTTATTCCATGAAACACATTAGTATCTAGTCATATCATTATTGACAGGTGCACAGGCAGTAAGTATGGCATCTAACAAAATATCAAAACCAACACAGGATTAGAATTTAACTCCAGTTCACTTTTTGAAAAGCCAAGTAATATCTTGCAAAGTGAGATTTGGTTTTAATAATACTTTTTTTACAGGTTTATAAAGTTTTGGTGAATCTCTTTTTCTCTCTTCGTATTTAAGGAGGGTCAGAGAAGAGCAGTTCTCTACCACAAACTGTTCCAGCATATTAAAATGGCTAAATCTGGCTTCTCTCCTTAGAAGCCTTTTAAGTAGAAGTCTGACATTGTTCTCATGAGTGCTATTGCCAGCTGGAAGGCTACCATACCCTCTTGTATTCTACTTACCAAGACTAAAAGAGGACAACAGCAATGAAAAGGGTTGTTGTAATATTTAATAGTTATCAAATTAATTGTGTCCTCATTTTCAAATGTAAAGAAGTTACATTGACTGCATATTGGAACCTAGATTATAAATGTTATGTGTTCATATTTTGCCACATTAACCAGTTTCAGGTGGCACTTTGTTTGTCCATAAAATGCCCCTTTCTTTCCCCACATGTGAATTCCACACTTGTGTCAAGACTTTTGAGAAGTTATTTAGACAATGCAAAAATTATTATGGCTTTGAATTCTTCTTAGCACTGGGCATTCAGTATATCCAAGGAAGAGCTGGAGCAGTTTTATCTCAGGCAGCATCAACAGATTGGTTTATTAAATTCCCTCCTGTTACTCCCTGGAAATCAGTGGAAAGCTTTTGGGATGGCACCGGTTGCTGCTTGAGCATAACTGGTCCTGCCAAACCTTGTTGATGATAAGCTGGAGAAAAGGAAGGAAGGAAGGAATCCCACTAGACTCAGGGTATATTTAGGTAGTGAAAAAACCATCCTGCTTCTTAGGCATCTGTGTGGTTGAAAGAAGTGACTGCCAGAAAAATGTCCTTAACTGCTTTTCACCCTCTCAGCTCTGCTGGTGGAAATATTCCTTGCTCTGCTTTCACTCAGGTTGGGCTCAGATAATTTAAAGAGACTTGTTGGTGGGTGTTTTCATGTTGGATCATTTTCCTTGTTGATGACAGGTGTGATCCCACAGACAGCTCTGCTGGCACATTTGAAGGAGAAATTCCCTTGGATGGAGAAGAGTGACTTGCAGGGTGGTGACCCCATGTCCTTGCAAACTTGGGGATGTTCTTTGATCAGAGTTTGCCTGTCCTCAGTCTTCCCCCTGCATTTACGAGGAATGATGTGCAATGCTGCAGGTAGCTGTGAGAGCTGAATAACCTGGAATGGGGCTTAAGCCCTGATATATTTTAAGTACAGTCCCTGCCAGAAGCAGCTCTTTGTTGCTGATTGAACACATCTGATGGAGAGTTTTGATAAAAGCTCCAGGAACCTTTAGTGCAAGCAACACCTCTAAATTGGATTTGCTGCATGTGCCAGTTCTGGAAAATCAAATTATTTGGTGCGTTTGTTTTTACAGCTCAAGGATAAATCTCACTTCCAGCATAAGCAGATGTAATTTAATTGAAGTAAATGCAGTTGTTACTTGTGTCTGAATTTTTTGATTTAGCTGTAAATCTTCGTTGCCTTTTTAAGGAGACTTTCTTTCTCTGTCGCATTCAGTACAGAGCTACTGTTGTCAAAGCTTTGCAGAGGTTTTGGAAAATTGAGAGGGGCAGACTCCCTGTGCACTTCAGCCTTCCCCAAAAGATTACTTCTGTCACAAAAGATTAATCTTTGAAGTTTACTGGCTAGAAACACAATGCCTAGCAGCAAAGATTCATTACCGGGGGAGGAGAGACACCTCTCCAGCGGGTCAGAGCGCAGGGAGCGGGCAAGTGGCAGAAGGGATGGGAAGGGAGGGAAAGACACACCCCTGACAGAGCGGGACTTCCAGGGAGAAGCACCCACTGGCTCACAGCTGGAGCCGGCAAACACAAGCATGCACAGTCCGTGGGGAGAGTGGGAGCTGACATGATGTGCTTCAATTGGATGCAAAATGAATGAGCTGCTGTTCTCAGGGGTATTTGGCCCCCGTCGCTGAAGTACAAGTATGCGGCTGCTTCAAGTGCACTTGCATCATCTGATGCCTAGATACACACTAACGGAGACGGGGACCAGTCAGAGCATTGACTTGGGTGTTTTGTATGACGTGCTTGGCATTTAATTCCTGTTTGCTGCAACAAAAAGGTAAGAAACTTAAAAAGTCACAAGAAAAAACCTCAGCCCTTCCCCCTTCCACCCCCCAGAAAACAGTTTTGCATTAGTGTAGCCTTTGTCTCAAGCTGTATTTTCAAAGCTGTGGTCTAATAGTCTAAAGCTACTGTGTGAATGCCTGCAAAGCAAATTACAGCTCCTAGTGTGACAAAGGCAAGTCAAATTTCTTTTCTCCAAGAGCTGACACTTAACAACCTTCAGGAGAGCACTGTAGCAGAAATGCTGGACTGTGTGCTGAGCGGTAAGTATTTGATGCTGTTCTCCCTCTCCTTTATCCCTTCAGATGTTGCTCATTTGAGCAGTAAGCTAACTAATGGATCTTGATGATTAATAGGTTTTGGGGACTGTGTTCAGCTCAGAATTACATGTTCCTAAACTGCCTGCGGTTACTGACTGCGTACTGACCAGCCAGATTCTGTAGAGGCTGATCGTAATTTGTTTTTCCTGGTAATGCCATGTTAATGTATGAAGAGATGCTGTAGTTAAGAGCAGCAGAAAACCTCATTTGCTAAAGTGGAGAAAGCTCTGTGTGTTTTTGCTCCCAACATATACCACCTGTGTAATTATTTATGTCTAATTCCCAGCTAACTTCTAACTAGACACTCTGGGCTTCTTTTTTTCAGCCCAGTAATTGACAATGAGGATTGAACAATCTGTGTAAATCTTCAAAATATTTGAACATGTTTAATAGCAAAAGTATTGCACTATATGTCAGTATACATGTATGTTAAATATATTTAGTTGAAGTGAAATGGCTAGCAGCTTTTCTGACAGATGGGAAAACTTCATGATTAAATGTAATCTATTGCCTTAAGATCTCTGTGTTTGCTTAATCTTATCTGAAAAAAATATAAAGAAATATATAAAGAAATTTCAGCTGGAGAAATTTCATTGATTTGTTAATTGATATATAGCTTTGAATCCTTATTACACTGGGTGCATGGGGAAAGAAGAGAGACAAGCACATTTATCTTTTTCTTTAAACTCAGCAGCTTCACTCTTCAATTAGGTTTCTCGCATGTTATGGAACCTTATTGCTCTCTGTTGTGTACAGTAGTTTTTGCTTTCTTAAAGGATAATAGCTGAGTCTATGAGGGGAGTACAGGATCTGTTTCATCTTTTAAAACTATGGCTTTAATTACGTTCTTGTAGCTGTTGCCTTGTGGTAATTATAAGAACTTGTGAGTGAGGAAAAGAACATTATTTAGCCCTGGAGCATTTCACAGTAAAAAGTGGCCTATTTATTTTCATAAGGATTTAAAAGAGAGAAAGGGAAAGATATTGGGGTTTTCTTGTGTAATACCAGTTATAATTTTTTTAAGTTTTTTTTAATTTTTTTTTAAGTACAGATTAGTTTTCCCTTTGACAACAAGTGGGTGTGTATGCATAAACCCTATTTATGAAGACATTTTAAACATAGATCAGTTGCAATACAGATGGAGAGCAAAGAATTTGAATTAGTATTTTAGATAATCAAGGTGTGTATTGACAGTCTGGGGTATTTCTTGTATTGTTGCAGTCTGTTAAAAATTCAGCAAGGCTTTCTGTCTGATTCACAATTCACAGTTTCCTGTATTTCATGACATGAAGTAAAACTGCTACAGTGGACAAAGTTCTGATACAGTTTATATTAGAGTGCTAGTATTGATTCAACAGCACTGTAAAAATTTAATTTGTTTTAGAGTGCAGACTTTATTTCAACATAGTTTAAAACAAGCTGAGATAACCTTATTCTCTGGATAAAGTTAATATAGGTCAAACTCTGAAATTTAACTGTTCTAAATCAGGGATATCAAGTCAGTAAAAAGTGTTTCATTGTGCCACATCCAGTCTTTTCTTTAATACCTCTAGGGACTGTGACTCCACCACCTTCCTGGGCAGCCCATTCCACTGCCAAGTCACCCTTTCTGTGAAGAACTTCTTCCTAAATGTCCAACCTAAATCTCCCCTGGCACAGCTTAAGACTGTGTCCTCTTGTCCTACTGCTGGTTGCCTGAGAATATCCAACCAATCCATCTTAAATGGTGCTCTAGTGATTTGGAGGGAAAGGCGGCCTGCTGTTCAACATTCTTTTTGTGCTTCCAGAAATATGTTTGTTTTCCCTAGCAAGCCAACATGTCCTCATGAGTGGGAAATGATCTGTAGTGTATTATGAGAGAGAACTCTGGTTTACATCAGGAGAGGAGGCACCTGGGGTGGCCCTGTGCTTCAGAGGGCTCTAAGTGCACCCACTCTTCAATCTCAGGTTTTCAGTCACTGAGTGTGTGCAGATCAGGGAAACCCTGAAGGAATGGCAAAATGACCTGAGGTTGCTTATTTATGGAGAGGACTTAAGAATAACAAGGAGCCAGCTTGGCTGTCAGATTCCAATGTGATGTCAGATACCAAGCTGTGAAACTTTCATAGTTTGGGTGCTGGATGTCACATTGATACCTGACAAAGTACCAAAAGCCCCAGTAAGTGGGGCTTACTGATTCAGAAAGTCTATTCTCTAAAACAAACTCTTCTGGTTTTAAGAGTATGATTCAGTCTTTACAAAATGTGGTTTTGTCAGTGTGCCTCATATTTTCTTTTTATTTTAAAAATAGAATCTGGTTAGGTTATAGTAGTCTTCATAATATATAATT